TTTTCCATATTGTTGCTGTTCCTGCCAGTCCAGACGTAAATGATTTCGCGGTTGTCTATTACATATACGTCCCCGTCATTCATCAGTTTCCAGTCGATCTGCAGAGAGGGAGGGGAGAGGAGTCAGGCTCGAGAGATGAGTTATTGTGTGTTCTTGATTTTTGATGGAGGGAAAGATAGAAGATAAAGGGGAGGGAGAGGGAAAGGAAAAGGGCAAAGGGGAGGGAGAGAGGGGAGCGTTTAGAGGGAAGAAGAAGTAAGAAGGAGGAGGTAAGAGAACTAGAGAGAGAGAGAGAGATAGAGAGAGATAGATAGATAGATAGATAGATAGATAGATAGAGAGAGAGAGAGAGAGAGAGAGAGAGAGAGAGAGAGAGAGAGAGAGAGAGAGAGAGAGAGAGAGAGAGAGAGAAGAGGGAGGGAAGGAGGGAGGGAGGGAGGCAGGGAGGGAGGGAGGGAGGGAGGGAGGGAGGGAGGGAGGGAGGGAGGGAAGGAAGGATGGATGGAGGGATGGAGGGAGGGTGGGAAGGAGGGAAGGAGGGAAGAAGGGAAGGAACGAGGGAGGGAGGGAGGGATGGATGGAAGGAGGGAGGATGGGATGAAAAGAGGAAAGAGAGAAAAGAGAAACTAAAAAAGTGTAGGAGACATATTGGGACAAAATGCAAAATGCACGTTTTTTTCAGAACACGAAATCAAATACAGAACAATATTCACCGAATAAAATGAATAAAAAATGCGTCAAAAGCAAATAAGCGGGAATGTGACCCTGGCGAATTTATGATCGTCCCAAATTAGAAAAAGATATTGCTTTCATTATTCATAATTTATTCTTTCAATTGCAAAGTCAGAGAGGGGAGTTATACAGAGAGAGAGAGAGAGAGAGAGAGAGAGAGAGAGAGAGAGAGAGAGAGAGAGAGAGAGAGAGAGAGAGAGAGAGAGAGAGAGAGAGAGAGAGAGAGACAGAGGGACAGATATAATAAGACAAAAACAAAAAGACAGGGATAGACTGTTTGATGGAAACACAAACAGAACAAACAGAGATGAAATAACTGACGTAAACAGAAAGACAGAACTCAGCCAACAAGAACAGCAACAGCTGGCTTACCGCAGACAACTCCGTCACAACCGTGGACCTCTTCCCCTTGACGTGGTAGATGGCAGGTTCGAAGTCGTCCGTAACATGTCTCAGTCCCGATGTGATACCTCCCTTCAGAAGCCTGGAAGTGAAGTCATGTAAGAAGCAAAGAATAATTCATCTCTTAATAAAAAAAAAAGACCTACCATAAACTTAACATAAATCGTACACATTTGAGACACAAAGTTTTGAGAAGAAAAAAAAGTTGATTTGGCAGAGAACACCCAAAGGAAGGGAAATTTTCCGCTAATGGGTGGGATTAGAGAATGATCACTTTCTAGACGGAAGGCGGAGAAAGGATGCTGAGAATAAAGGAGACTGACTCCTCCCGCATTTTTGGAAGCAGAGGGAAAGGCACTGAGGGGAGAGTAGTACTGAAATAACTGGGAAGAAAGGGTGAAGAGAAAGGGTGCTTTGATGCTGCTGGAAATTCTTAATGGCTTGATACTTTAAAAGGAACTGCCAGTGAGGAAACGGCAGTAGACTAGACCAATTTCCTGATATGAAGGCTGTAATTGCAATACTCTGTTCATGGCTACAGATTGCATGCATGCACAGGCCTACACTCTACAAATATACCAAGATAAATGCATGCTCTCACATGCGAAAAGGAAAACAAAAACGCTACACTCACGCAGGCATATATATATATATATATATATATATATATATATATATATATATATATATATATATATATATATATATATATATATATACATATATATATATATATATGCCTGCGTGAGGGTAGCATATATATATATGTATATATATTTATAAATATATATATATATATACATATATATATATATCTATATCTATCTATCTATCTATCTATCTATATATATATATATATATATATATATATATATATATATATATATATATATATATATATATATGTATATATATATATATATATATATATATATATATATATATATATATATATATATATATATATTTATATATATATATATATATATATATATATATATATATATATATATATATATATATATATATATATACACATATATATATAAATGTATGTATATATATACATATATATGTATACATATACATATATATATGTATATATACATATATATATATGTATATATATGCATATATATATGATGTATATATACATATATACATATATATGTGTATATGAACATATATATACATTTCTATAAATGTACATATGTACATATATATATATATATATATATATATATATATATATATATATATATATATATATATATATATATATATCACACACACACGTGTGTATACATGTATGTATACATATATATACACTTGTGAATATATATGTATATATGTGCGTATGTGTGTATGTATGTACATAGAGCAGAAACAGAATCACAGAGCACGCAGGCGACCAGGCACGTGACCTCTCGCTGCAACTTACTTCAGCTTCGGGTCCCCAATCCGGAATCCGCGCGTGGGCGTGAGCGATAAGAAAGTGAAAACATGAAGCGGCAACTTCAGAGGCGGAATCATGGTGATAAACGTTTCTTTAATCTTAGACTTTGTGCATGACAGGCGTGACAAGCCTAAGGAATCGGTGACACAATCTTGAGATATCATGTTATCCATTTCTCTATCCCTTGATTTCTTTAAGTCCATCGTAACGGACGTGTGTGCCATGACTTGTTAAAAGCGGTGTGACAAGGTTTGGTTTCTAAAGATGGCGTGCAGATGTTTTATCAACTTGGTTGACTGACAATATGTCGATTAAGGAGTGAGTTAAGTTTCTCCTTGCATTTAGTTCACGTAATCTACACACACGAGCTTAAAGATACATGTGTAGTACTAATATATGCATGGAAACACATATACAGATATATACTCAAGGATAGTTTTCGTTTCGCTAGAAGTGTTGTTTTACCTAACTTTACACACCTACACAGTCATACCATGAGCAGTTTGATCTGAAACCCACATAGCGACTCACGACAGAGGGAGGAAGGCAACCTCATAAATCTTGTCCTCCCAAACGATTCGGTGTTTGCTTCTCCCTCGTCAGACTCTGTCTCACTAACTCTAACTTTCTTTCTGTCTCTACACATCTCTGTTTCAGTCTCTATCTCTGCTTCTACTTGTCTATCCATCTCCCTCTATCCTATCACGCCCTACTCCCCCCCTCTGTCTCTCTCTCTCTCTCCTTTTCCTCCTCCCTCTCCATCTCTTCCTCTCCCTCTTCCTGTCTTTCTCTCCTTCTCCCTCTCTCCTCCCCCCTCCCTCCTCATGTCTCTCTCTCTACCTCCTCCTCTCTCCCTCTCTCCTACCCTCTCCCTCCCTCCCTCCTCCCACTTCCTCTCCCTCCCCCTCCCTCTTCTCTCTCCTCTTACTCCCTCTCCCTCCCTCCTCCTTCTCCCTCCCACCTCTCATCCCTTATTCCTCCCTCCTCTCTCTCCTTCCCCTCCCTCCTCTCCTCCCCCCTCTCTCTCTCTCCTTTTCCCCCTCCCTCTTCCTGTCTTTCTCTCCCTCTCCCTCTCTCCTCCCCCTCCCTCCTCCTGTCTCTTTCTCTCTACCTCCTCCTCTCTCCCTCTCCCTCCCCTCTCTCCTCTCACTCCCTCCCCTCCCTCCTCTACCTCTTTTCCTCCTCCCCCTCCCCCTCTCTCCCTCCTCTCTCTCTCTCTCTCCCTCCTCTCTCTCTCTCTCTGTCTCTCTGTCTCTCTGTCTCTCTGTCTCTCTCTCTCTCTCTCTCCCTCCTCTCTCTCTCTCTCTGTCTCTCTGTCTCTCTGTCTCTCTCTCTCTCTCTCTCCCTCTCCTTTCCTCCTCTCCTTCCCTCCTCTCTCCCCCTCTCTCTCCCTCTCCTTCTCTCTCTCTCTCTCTCCCTCCTCTCTCTCTCTCTCCCCCTCTCCCTCTCCCTCGCTCACCTAATGCCATTCTTGAAGTAAGACAAAAACCGCTTGCTCTCGTTTCCCTCCGTCTCCCGGTGCTGCACGGGCCCTCCCCCGAGTAGGTTGTCCAGCTCCACGGTCTTGATGGCTGCCACTCCTGCCTCGTCGGTACTCGTCTCAGATCCGAGCCAGAAGTGGATGTGGATGTCCAGAGCTCCCTTGGGTGGATGTGGCTGTTGGGGCGAGGGTTCAGGTTAGTGTGGGCGGCTTGGTGAAACGTCTGATTTTTTATATATATATATTTTTTTCTAGTTTTGTTTTTCATGTTCGTAGCTTGGAGAATGTGGCATGGCTAGGTACAAGTAGGACCTACGCGTATTTCAGGTGGTTTGCATACGGAAAGGAAGACATGGAGAGAAGACGAAGAAAAGAAGGAAAAGTGAAGAAAAAAAAATGTAAAAGTCCTCAGAATAGCTATACACAATTATTTGTTTTTGTTTTTGTTTTGTTTTACCGTGTCGTCCATGCCTGCAGGTTTGCCATACTCCGAGGCCGAGAAGATGATGTAAGAGTCGCCCTTGTGGAACTTGCCATAATCCTCCCGCTTCAGCGCCACCAGCTGGAGGTTCTGCAGGAGATATGGCCGGAGGGATGGAGTGATTGGCGAGGGAGATTTTCATGTCTCTCTTCCTCTTTAGTCGTATATTTTTATGTTTTGTCCTAATTTGATATCGATTATGCATTTGCGTTTGATGATTATAAAGCAAACATTAAAAAAGAGATTAAAGACAACAATGACACAATGCATTTTTTTTTTTTCTTACATATACAAAAAAGGGAAAAATAAACTACACAGGTGCGTGTTGTCCGCACAGAGAGGAGAATCCATGACGTTGATTGCTACTAACCTCGACTCGCCAGATGATAAAACATGTCGAGTTCTTTGGGATGATGTTGAAGGCCGGGTCTTTAGGAATTTCGCCCATACTGCAAGAAGGAAAAAGATTATTACTGAGAGAAACGAATTACCAAACGTTACAGCGAAGGACATGGCAGGTTTATATGTGTGTATGTTTATATGTCTAATTTAGAGGAATTAGGGTCGGATAATGGACCAGGGCCGGATCCAGGATTGTTAGAAAGGGGGGGGCGTAACCCCTAGCCGAGACGATTGCGAGTGCCGAAGGCACGAAGCCTAAGCGGGATAGAAAGTTTCTATCAATTATCCCTTCTATTGCTGACTGGGACTTTTCCTACCTACATCCCACGTCTTTCCCTGATGTTGTGTAAAAAAATTCCTGGTCTAAAAAAATCATTACACTGCCAAAAATAGGGGGCGTACCCCCCCCCCCCCCTGGATTCGTTTCGTTTCGAGACGTAATTTCTTTGGATGTTAAAAATACACATAAAAAAAGATTTATCTAACATCCCTACCCCCCCACCCAAACCAACACCAACGCAACACAAACGGACAAAAATCCATCATTCCCAGCAACGCCATCTCGCGCCAAAGAAAGTCGCCATTTTGTTTCGCCAAAGACGTGTAAAAGTTACCAGGGCGTTATGCCTTTGTTGCTGATGTTAATACAGCGTCCTACATTATATTGCAGAGTTCGCCTGGTTAGCACCCCCCCGAGGACTGCAAGAGCTCCCCGCTGGCCAGAAGGAAAGCTGGGTTTGTTTTACTTTGGATGGTGTTTTTGTTATATATGTATTCATTTGTTTATTTTTTCACTTCTAAAGAGTTTTACTGCAGGTGTGTTTTACTTCGGATAGTGTTTTATTTTCATTTTTTATTCATTTATTAATTTGTTTTATTATTTTTACTTCTGAAGTGTATAACTGCGGATGTTTTAAATTGGATTGTGTTTTTTTCCTTTTAATTCGTGGGCGTAGTTTTATTTCGTTTTTGTTATACTTTGAATAGTATTTTACTACAGGTGTTTTTTTTATTTAAGTATTTTTTACATATTTTTTTTACATATATTTCGTGTGTGTTTTACTTTGGATAGTGTTTTACGTATTTATTATTATTATTGTTATTATTTTTTACAACGGGTGTATCTTATTTCAGGAGTTATAAGTTTTAAGCCTTGGGAGTGTTTTATTTTTAGTGTGTTTTAGTGTTTTAGGTAGTGTTTTACTTAAAATATGTTTCAATTCTGAATGTTTTTTTAACGCCTCCGTTCGAGACGCTTAGCTGTGTTTGTTCACTTACAATCAGCTGTTTGATTGAAGGTCTTTGAAATAAATCGTGTTTATGAATAACGAAGAAAGAAGAAGAAGAAAAGGAAAGGAAAAAAAGGAAAAAGAAAAAAGAAAAAGAAAAAGACAAGGTAAAGAGAAAGGAAAAGAGAAAAGGAAAAAGAAAAAGAAAAAAAGAAAAGAAAAAAAAGAAGAAGAAAAAAGAAGACGAAGAATAAGGAGGAAAAAAACCAACAAACAAAACTCGAAGACTCAGACACATAAAAAAAGGGACAACGTTTACGTCGAGGATACATAACAATGTACGTTGTAAGGAAGGCCATATTTTTTCCCTCCTCCTCCCCCTCCTACAGCTTGGCCGAAATTAATTTTAAAAAGTTTTCCCGCAACAATCCGCCCAGTCTACAGCAATTTCAGGCGAGGCATTTTCTCCACCAAGATCGAGGATGCTCAGAGGGCGTCCTATCACTCAACCTCGGATCAGCGTGTAGTACTCCTTTAACCCAGAGTCATTCCGGAAAGAGGCAGTGCAGAGGGAGGGAAGGAGGCAGGAGGGAGGGAGGAGGAAAGGAGGCGGGGGGAGTGAGGGAAGGGAAGGGTAGGAGAGAGAAAGAGAGAGAGGGAAGGAGGGAGGGAGGGAGGCGATGCAGAGGGAGGCGGGCGGGCGGAGGGAAGGAAGGAGGCGGGGGGAGGGAGGGAAAGAGTCAGGGGGGGGGGAGAGAGGGAAGGGAGGAGGAAGGAGAGGGTGAGTGAGGAAGGCTGGGAGACTGCGGGGCGGAAAAAAGAAGGAAGAAGGCTGGGAGAGGGAGGGAGGGAAAGAGAGTAAGGAAGGGAAGGAGGGAGAGGATGAGGAAGGAGAGGAAAAGAGGAAAGGAGATAGAGAGAGAGAGGGAAAGAAGAAGAAGAAAAAGAGGACGAAGAGAGAGAGAGAGAGAGAGAGAGAGAGAGAGAGAGAGAGAGAGAGAGAGAGAGAGAGAGAGAGAGAGAGAGAGAGAGAGAGAGAGAGAGAGAGTATGAGAGAGAGAGCTTCCACCGTTGACAGCCATTCCAAACGTTGTTTTAGACTGTTTACTTTCTTAACATCTCATAAAACTGTCGCAGCTTGTATGTAAAATTTGTGAAAAGGGAACATACTCATAAATCTCTTTTTTTTTTTCTTTATCATTGTATTCTCTTTTTAGGAAAATCATCCTCGAATTCTGAGACACATCGAGAGGCTTGCAAATGTATCTTGACTTAGCTTGAAGAACTTGTGATTCGTTCTCAAGCCGAGACTCAGGCC